TGCAGTGCAGAGATATAGTTTACTGTGTACCCTCCTTTACCATAGTAGCACAATCCCATCAGTTTAGGACAAGTAAGAAAAGGTAAGAGCCAAAATCTGTCTCAAATCTTCTTTGCTTCTGTATTATTGGAGTGGAGACATCACCTTTTTCATAGATGTCCAGCCTGAGGAATTAGTGGAAACCTGCTTAAATGGGTTGATCTTTTTTTTTTCCTTCCTCCTTGCTGCTCCGTGTTACCTAATGAGTGACTGGTGAATGCGAGGTTTGTGCACCCACAGCATACACCCAAAGTATTGCAGGTCCGTGATGGTGTCTCTGACCAGACACATGCACCTGACAGCTGGCCATTGCCATCTTCCTGTCCTGCTGATGTCTTACCTCTAGATCTAGAAGCTCAGGGGACCAAACCAAGTGCCAAAACTGAATGAAGTTGGTAGGTGATCTACTTTCCCCTTTATCTTCTGGATGAGGGCACTGTTTAAGGTTGCACACCTCTAAGGAAAGAGGAGGAAACAAGATCCCATATCATTAATGTCCTAATAATTTCAATAATTTCATTAATGAATAATAATAATGACAATAATTATAAGCATATGCTTATTTCAGTAACTTTCTTGACTCCAAGTAACTTTCAGTTTCTTTCTAACATGCTACATAGGAAATGCCCCACTTCCTTCAAAGCTTTCTTTAAATGCTGTCTCTTTCACAAAGCTTTATAGAGGAACTCAATCATAACAGGGCTCTGAAATCCCATGTAGCATTTTTTAAAGCCATGCAAAACTTTTGCAGTCCTGCCATCAATTAGGAATAATTATGTCCATGTTTTACCCTCCCTGATGGACTTGGAGAGTTAGTTGAAACCAGGGACTTGGCCTTTTACATTTTTGTTTGCCTTGTGATGCCAGGTACAGTGCTTAGCAATGGAAGGTGCCTCAGAAGGTATAATGAACAAATGAATGAGAGTGAGTGAACTGACAATGAACCTATTGGAAAGATGCCTTTGTTCTCTCCTAGAGTGGGGCTGCAATGGATCCAAATGTGATGAATCTCTTGAGATGGGGAGCTTTGTGACTTACGGGGAAGTCGTTCTGTCTCTCTGGCTGAATAAGCAGTGATAAATTAAAACTGTAAGCTTGGAGTAGCTAGCAGTGATTTAAGGAGTACATGTGTATGGGCTTTTCATAAATGAATCAAGTAAATTGCTGCCACTAGCCAGTCAGGCAGGGCTGCTCCTCTCACGGAGCAAGTTTCTGGTGTTTACCTGGCCCAGATGCGGATAGCTGTGGAAATCTCTCCAGCGTTAGTGTCCACTGTATGCGTTTGGGTTTCCTGCCTTCCCTTGCCCCTTGGAAGACTTCTCCCACTAACTAAGAGAGGGGAGAACAAGCTCACTGTGGCTGTGGCAACTTGAGCCAGCTTCCCCCACTTCAGGCATTCCCGGCAACTTGGCTGGTTTCCCCCAGGGTTTCCTCATTTTCTCAGTTTTCTTAAGGGGGATTCAGGGGACTTGGAGCTCAAAACTCACAACCTAGTAAAGGACTATGGGGAGCTCCATTGACAAGAAAATCTCTCTTTAAATTCTGGTTCATCTCAAGGGCAGGGACAAGGGGAAAAATGAGAACCAATACCTGTCGTGTAAAGGTACAAGATCCCAATGATGAATGTAACTGTACTGTATCCCTAAAATGTACCAATAAACTCAATGAGAAAAAAAATAAATTCTGGTTCATCTCAAACAGTAAGTCAATTTTGGAAATAGTAAAGTAGCTCCATACCTCCTCCTCTTCCTCCTCTTCTTCTGCCTCCTCACCACTGAGATATTTTGGCTTCACTATCACAATCCCAAAGGCCAGGATCTCTAGATTTGTAAGGTAACAATTCATTGTGCCAAAATGCTGATTTATACCTTTTAGCTAAGAGGAAATGACTTGGTGCTGACTTTTCAGGTTTTTTTCCTTTCCTCACAATTTATTAAACAAAAAATATTTGTGGAGCCACTGGGTGCACATGGAGTTGCATGTGGCAGAACCTCTGCCCTGCAGGAGTTCAAAGTTCAAATGGAAGGAAGAGTCTGTGGTGAGGGAATTGGGAGTTGAGGCCGAGAAGTTGGGGTGATCTTGGCTTGTGGGAGGCTCTGGTGCTGGACTGCAGTGTTGGACAAAGACCAACAGGTCCTCTGCTTATGGTGTCTAAACCAAAGACCAGTCCATTGACAAAGGATATGTACGGTGTTTCCAATGTTTTACCTTTCAAACACTATTACAATGAATAATTACTGACATCATAATCTGAATGTGAGAGGATTCCTATAGACTCAATTCCTAAAATGGAATCACGGTATCAAGTGTGTCCATTTATAATTTTGGTGCACACTGTCAAATTCTTTCCTTAGAGGTATATCAAAATTAACTCCCAGAAGCAGTTCTGAGATGAGCTGCCCATCTTGCTCTGATTCTCATGAACGCAAGCACACACTTGGACTCTCTTATACACACACACACACACACACACACACACACACAGGATAATAAGACAGTCTTGTTCTACTCCCTAATAACTGTTATCCTTTGTGGAGGCACAGAGGGCCAACCATTAGCTCTCTTTAAGGTAAAAAGGCAAAAATTTGAGATGCATATTTTTGTCCTGGATAGATTTTCTCCCACAGTTCAGATGTCTTTATCATAGGGACCTAGCTTGAAGTTTTGTAGAAAGAATGTATCCAGTCAGCTTTCAGGCTTAGACTGAGAAGTAAGGAGTGTTCACACATACAACTACTTAGTGGGACTCTTAGTTATTCATGGTGGATGAGTCATTAATAAACACTGAAATATTTCCTCATTTTTTCATATTTTCAGATTGTGCTACTTTCAAGCGAAATGATTACTATAAGTCTCATTTGTTCTTGACTTTCAGTCTTAGAGCATAGGGACCTCTTTAATCAATCTACTACAAAATAATTTTTTTGTAAGAATTTGTCATTTTCATGGGGTAATAAAAAGCAAGTGCCATATGATAATTTGGATATATTCTAAGGACTTCAAACTTAAATCTGTGCTGTGCAGATCCCCACATGCTAGTGAATAGAACAAAAGACAGTGAATTGTGGTTTTCAGGCTTAGGTGCCATGCATATGAAATAAATAACAGCCAGAGTATGCCTCAGTCTTCTTGGTCAGCAACTCCACCCTCCTTCAGACCATGAGGAAATGGGCTGTCACAGCACACTGCTCACTTTAGGTGTGAATGTACTTGAGAAAGGCTTATGAGGAGTGACTTTGCAGCTTTTGACAAAAACTTCAGGGGCAGGTTGCATGGTTAAGTGCTGAAAACGGAATTTAGCAGTAGCTAATCTCTGTACCAAAGAGATACTCATTATTTATGGAGCCTTAAAAGTCCACCAAGCAAGCAACTTACACTTACTCAGGACATTCTCTGTAAGGCATTCTATCAGATAGTAGAGATGATAAAAGAAAAACAAAAGACAAACTTGTCAGGGTCACCACTCTTTAAAAAATTAGGAAGGGATTGTGAAGATAAGATACAAACATAAAACGTAATGAGTATGTGGGAGCTAACAGCATGAGGTTATAAGTATATGGAATTCAAATCAGAGTGAAGCATTTGGACCTGGGCAATTTAAACAGTCTTGAAAAAGTAAGATTCTCAACTTTATGGAAGTTATCACAGTCAAGGACAGCGTAATGGGGACTGGGGTGTATTTTTCTCCCTAGCTCTTGTAATTGAGCTCCCATCATTCATGCTGTTGTTGAACAACCCCATGTGCTCCACACGCACACTTTGCTTTGGTTGTCTTCCTAAGGCCTTCAGGATAACGGTCTCCTTTCCTGAACTTCACCTGAAACTTTCAGGGCAGCATGACCTTCCATCTTTTCCAGAATTTCATAGTTTGTTGCTCTCTCTCTCTCTCTCTCTCTCTCTCTCTCTTTCTTTCCAGTACCAGGAATCAAATTCAGGACTTTGTGCTTGCCAGGCAGGTGGAGCACTGCAGAGCTACACCCCCAGCTGCTTTCTTTTATCTCTCACAGCAAATCAAAGCTGTACCCTATGATCTTCCCAGCTAGAGGATCAGTAAATGCCTTCAGGTCCTCAAAAAGTTCAACCTAGAATTACCATATAACCCAGCAATTCTACTTCTAAATATATACCTCAAAGAATTGAAAATACACTCTACTACATCCTTGTATAGGAATGCACATAGAAGTACTTTTAAAAATTGATAAAAGATGAAAACTATTGAAATGTCCATTAATAGAAAAATGGCTAACCAATTTTTTTGTATGTCCACACAATGGAATATTATCTGGTCATAAAAAGGAATGAAGTAGTATTTCATGTATTCATGTTGTGTCATGAATGAACTTCAAAAACACTTTACTAAGTGGAAGAAGCCAGGTACAAAAGATTACATATTGAATGATTCCATTTATATGAAATATCCAGAATAAACAAATCTATAAAGACAGGAAACAGACTGGTGATTGTCTAGGGTTGGTGAAGTGTAAGTGGAAAGATATTGCTTAATGAATATGGGGCTTTATTTTGAAGTGATGAAAATATTTTAGAACTAGATAGAGGTGATGGTTGTAGAACATTGTGAATGTACTTGTCCACTTTAAACTTTTCCTGACTTGTCTATTTTAAACTGCTCAATTTTGTTATGTGACTTTTTACCTTAATTAAAGAATGAAACACAAAACAAAACAACTCCCTCAGGAAACAAGAAGTTTAAGTGCTTTTTCTCCTGATGTATTTGCTTTCTAGCAGAGTCATGGAAGAAGCAACTCTAACCCACAGGAGTGAGTTTCAGGGTGCAGTTTAAGTAAATGACGGTAATTTCTTACTCCAGTACAGGGCTTTATAGTTTACAAAGTGCTTTATGTCAGTATTTATGTCCAATACCCTGTATGACCTTGACAACATTTTTTTTCACCACTACCTTTTATCCCAACAGCCAAAGAAGATGAGTTCATACTTCCTGTGTCCTGAGATAATGTCACTGTTTCTGTGTTTGAGTGTGATCCATTAACCCAGGCCACAGTCAAATGCAACCCCTGGAACTTCACCTGAAATGAGAGCATGTTGTGGTTTCTCAGAGCCCTGCAGCTGCTGGTGCTGAACAGCTCTCTGGGGATAGCAGGTGGGTAAAGATGAGCTGGCCCAGCCTCCATTAGACAGAGCTTGTTAGGAGGCGGGTATCCTTGGTCCTTGGGGTCTGGTCCTTTATAAGGTTAAGGAGATCCCTGTTATGAGTTGAGGGAACTAATACTGTCTTGGGCATATCATATGGACATCTGTTTAGACACTGCATGTGAACAACATGGTTTGGTCTTTAAAGACTTTATGCAAACAGCATGATTATAATTCAAAGGTGTGATGGATAGAAGGTTAAGGTTAAAAATTGATTAGTAGAAATACGTAGGTCAAAGGGAACTTACAAAGTGGTTAGTTGGTAGCGTTTCTGAAGGGGAGTGACTGTTCAGTACAGGCACTGTATCCAGTGTTTTGTTTGACATGTGTGACAAAAGCTATTTGTTGACTTAGTTCTTTTGTTGATACATTTATTGATTCCTTTTTGGGAGAAGATGGTCCTCAGAATGCAGGGCTCTTGAAGCAAGGGAGCAAGTCTCTTGTATTCCACAGTGCTTTCTGTGACAGTCCTCAAGAAACTGGTTGGATAAGTGACAGAACTGAGGCAAGAGAATATATGGGCTCTGCAGTCTGACTGCTCTGTGCATAAATGTCAACTCTGGCATTAGCCGCATCATCCTATACATAAAGGAATGGATCAACCCAACTCCACAGTTTAATGTTGGACACATTTAATAAACTGTAGCTATTATTTATCCTGCAGATAATAACAAAATCTGAACAATGCTCAAAGAACAGCAAAAAGAACTCCCTTGGGAAACTTAAAATGATCCATTCTTATATTTTGGTTGCAAGAACCTGGCCAAGCGTCCATTTATTAATTCTCCCAGTTGAGCTCTCAGTATCAGGTAATATTCTAGGAGTAATAGGAAGCCACCAGAGAGTTGTAGTCAGAGGAGTCTCCTTCTTAGACATGTGTGTTATAAAGCCCTCTCTGATTTGCTGTGCTGTGCAGAACGGCTTCAACTCTAGCAAGATGCAATGAAGAAAGAGGCAGTGAGGCAGTGTGCACTGGAGCCAGCTTCATGGAGAGGAAGGGGCTTTGCTTGGGATGGAGGCTGTGAAGCTGTGAGATAATTTGGTGGGTGCTTGAGGCTGAATAAAGGGGACTTGATGGTGGATTAGATGTGGAGGTGGGGGAAAGGGAGACATAGGTTTGTGCCCCAAGAAATGAAGTGAGTGGAGCTGCTATTTTCGGATGGTGCCAGAAGAGGCCTGGATAGGAGTTTTTACATCATAATTTAGAAAACCATTAGAATAGATGAGATCTGAGAGGTGCGGGGGGAGAGGAAGAGAGAGTGGGAGAGAGAGACGGAGGAGGAGGAAGAAGAAGAAGGAGAAGGAGAAGGAGGAGAAAGAGAGGAGAAAGAGAGGAGGAAGAGGAGGAAGAGGAAGAGAATGTAACATCTGGGACTCTACTGAGAGTCTCCTAAACTCTGAAGGCAAGAAGAGGAGGACCCAGAAAAGGGCATAGCGTTAGAAAGGAAATAAAGAAAATGTGGACTCATGAAATTTAGGGAAGAAAACAGTTCCTAGAAGGAGTGGCTGCCACCCACTGCCAATGAAAGGAATGGTAAGACAAGGACAGGTTAAGGAGATCCTGACCCTACTTTAGTCCTACTTTGGGAGCAGGGAGGCCACTGTGGTTTGGTAAAAGTAGTTTCAACCTCTTGGGGAGAGATTGGGTGGGGATGAGGGAGTGGGTGGAGGAGTGCATGGGCGGTGAGGATGTGGTCGGTGTAGACCACAGTTGCGGGAGTTGCCTGTGAAGTTTAGCAGGGATCAGGGATGATAGCTCCAGGCAGATGTGGGGTCCAGGGTGTTTGCTTTTCTTAAAATGGGGAAAAAACTCAAAGCATATCAGTAGTCTGATGGGAAGGCTCAAAAAGAGGAGAGATGATTACAGGAGGGAGAAGCAATGACTGCAGGTATGAAGTCCCTGAGGAGGTGAGGGGCTCAGAATGCAGCTCACAGGTAGTACTGTGTTTGTGAGGGTGTTGTGGTGAGAAGGAGAAGGCAGGCCTGTCTGTAGTAGGAGGCCAGGGTACGACAGTGCTGGAGCAGCTGGGCGCGACCTACCAGTTGAGGAGACTTATTACCTGCTGGCACAGAACAGCAGCAGCACAGGATCAAGCTGAGCCCTGCACCCCATCCCAATCTTCTAATACGAGAACACACTGAACCTGTCCCCTGACATAAAACTTCTAGCACAACATCAAATAGGACCTCCTGGATTTACTATCAAAGAAGATACAAAAAGACAGCAGGAATCGACTTCACTGCACTGCCTGCCGTCTTATTCTTGCAGTGGTCTGGTCTGCTTGCAGGAAGAATCTTCTCTTTTTCCTTCCAAGCACCTCTTTTTCCTTGAGTGCATCTTTTGTGATTCTTCTCTTTTTCTTATTTCTGCCCTACAATAAGTGGTAATCTTCCACATCTGCCAGTTGTCCTAACCAATTCATTGATTGGGACAAATAAGCACTGCTGGTCCCTACCTCATCCAATAACACACCCATTTCTAGAGATTCTGGACAGAAGAGCGAGGATGACTTTCGGAAGTGAAACCTATGGATTCTGGCAGAATCTTGGGAAGAAACACACATACAAAGTGTGGCAGGGCACACTGCCTGGCACACACTACACACATCATCATTTGCTTTAATAGAAGTGCAGTCCTGCCAGTGACCGTCAGGCATCTCCAGGGTCAGAATATCATCTGCTGTCTCTAGGCCCGGAGGCGCAGGAGGGGAGGTGGAGAGGTCTAGAGGGAGAAAGACTACAAAAGGTGGAGAACAAGTGTGGGGTCAGGCTAACAAAGCAGAAATGAAGAGGGCAAGGAAAAACAACAGAGGACCTGCAAGGCCTGCAGTAGAAGACAAGGAATGAGCAGCTGTGTCACAAGCACTCTGGGGCCCTTTTGCTCTCAGCTGCTGGCCTTACGTGGCTTTGCTCCTAACTCATAATGAAAGAGCAACTCCTGCAATCAGCACAGGTGCAGCACAGCTCTGCTCCCTGCCTGTGTGAAAGGAAGTGCTAGGGACAAGCTCCGCTATAATTAGCACCCACCCATAGCCTTGAAAGCTGCCTGCCCTTGAGGTGGGCGAGCTTGGAGGCAGTGAGAGAAAACAGGCAGTGCACAGAGACGGTGGAGATGCCAGCTGGGGGGTAGCTGGGGGAGGGGTCAGGCAGTGCCTGCAGCTGGTCACCCTGCCCACAGCCCTGCAGCCAGCCAGACCCTGCTGAACACAGCATACAGAATTCCTTGACAATCACTTATCTGTCTGGGCAAACATCCTTCATGGCAGGCTTTCTCCAGCTCCAGGGGCAACTCCAGCTTGGGAATGACACTACCTCGGCAGACAGGGATGGGGGCGGGCTGGCCTTGGTAGCACCCCAAGGGAGGGAGGGCAGTGCTTTCTCAAGGACTTGTCTCCTTGGAACATCTTTCTAAAGCCTGGGCACGATCCGAGAGCCTGCACTGGGCTGCCTCTGGCTTTCTGCTCATTTTGCACGTGGGGACATTTTAACTAAAAAAAAAAAAAACTTTCCAGTGAATCAGAGAAGAAGCTGTTCCTAGACCTTCTCTCCTTTGAGTGTGTGTGTGTGTGTGTGTGTGTGTGTGTGTGTGTGTGAGAGAGAGAGAGAGAGAGAGAGTTTAGTGTCTGAGAGGAAGAAGGCAGAGTCCACAGACTTTTTTTGTCAGCCACAGCAGTGAACATAAAATGCTCCCCTGAAGCACAAAATCCAGTGTAGACAGCTACACCTCAGTGTCTGAGGCCTCTGCTTCACCTTGCTTCTTCAGGTGACCTGACTCCCAGCCCTGATCTGAGTGGGGCAGAACCCTCTCTCTCCACACAGGCTGGTTTTCCAAGGCAGCCCTACCACCTGTCTCATCTTGAGAAATCACCTTCTTGTCTGGATCTCAAGTCAATTTCTGTCTCTAATCCTGGTGCTCTCTTTGGAAATCCCAGCTTTAGCTGACTCTCTCCTTCACAGAAGAGGAGTCCCTTTATATTTTCTGAGACAAATGCTTTTCTCCTGGCTGTTTTCTCCTTCCAGGCTGGTCAGCCCCAGTTTCTTTAACTTGTCATTAATTCACTACTTCATTTGTTTCTAGCTAGCTGAGAATGTTCTACCATGCTAGGTACTGGGATGCACCCACGGAGAAAGCTCACATTTTGTTTAAAGAAACACTACTAGGAAAAAGAGAAATATGACAGATAATTAGAATGTGGTATGATAAGAGGCATTAATAGAAATAAAATTTTTACTGCCTATTGAGGGCTTATCATGGCCTGGTGCTGAGTGAGCTCTGCATGTTATTTCATTTAGAACTCATGCAACCCCGTGACCTGTGCGCCATCAGCTTATAGATAAAGTCAAGTGGCCTGCCCGCTTCACAAGGCTCTTTGAGGGGGTTACCAAACTTACACTCAGTGGCACGTCTAGGACTTCGGAGCACTGAGACATAAAGTTCATGCATTAAGAGTGAGGATTTGAACTTGGATCATCTGGCTGCAGAGCTCACCTATTTGAACACTATGCCATCTTGCCTTCCTGGAGGACTGGAAACACTCAGGAAGCAGGATGTAAGCATATACTCAGCAGGGCCACTGGCTCAGACTTGCCCCAAAGAATGTTTTGAGACTCTGCTGGCAGGAAGCTTGATGTTCTAGGCTGACGTAACTCCGACTTTGCCATGGATCTTGGCATAGGCAGCTGTGCCTTCTTGATATCCACTGTTCTGAACACAGGTTTCTTTTAGCCTTTTCTTCACAGTGTGACAAGGAGTCCAATGTAAAAGCAAGGTCACCTCAGGCACTTCTGCTGACGATCCATCCTTAGAGAACTCACTATTCAGGCCCATCCTGAGAGCTACTGAATTAAATTCTGACACCCAAAAGGCAGCGATGGTCATGGAGAAGCCTGACAGAGCTTAGCTCTACGCTGTGGCTGCCTCATTCAAATGGCAGGGAAAACGCGGATACT